AAAATGCAAATGAACTGTAATATACGAAAGGAAATATTAAGGTCACGTGTTTGCCAAACGAGCGCTAGGTTTTCAAACTAACAAACCGTCTACTTTATGCCCAGATCCAGCACATGTTCCTTAACTACATCGCGCAACACATAAATACAGTGGTAAAGGAAAAGTCTGTACCGTCACGTTTCGAGTGAGCCGAACTCGAAGTCCGAAGCACTAGTACACACACACACACACACACAGCACACAACCAACACACACACATTCCGGCACCCACACCACATAACACGAAGCACACACACACACCACAACACACACACACACCACGCACACACACCACAACCACACACACACAGGGCACACACACACACACACACACACACACACACACACACACACACACACACACACACACACAACACACCGCACACACACACACACACACACACCCAGGCAACACACACACACACACACACGGCACGACACACCACACTGTCCACAACACACACACAACAGCGATACGCACACGCGCGCGCGCGATGAAAGAAGATGGACTAAAAGAAGAAGAAGGAGCAGGAGAAGAGAAAGGAGGAAGCAGCAGGAGGAAGAGGAAGGAAAAGAAAAGAAAAATAACAAGAAAACGAGAAAAAACAAACCATAAACACAGGATTTGAAAAAATTGGAAAATACAAACAAATACGGACCTAATGAAGCCACATAATGAAGACAATTTAGCAAGCATGTCCGTGAACGTATAGCGTGATCAAAACGCAGGTCAGCAGAAATGAGGAGCTGAGACATGCGAGTCTTTTTTTCTTTTCTTTCTTTTTTTTTTCGTTTTTTCTTTTTTTTCGATAATTTTTTTTTCTCTCTTTTCAGGCGTCACTCAGGCTATACATTAAGGCTTGGCAAGTCGCTGTGTTAGTTTGTTTGAGGAGAGAGAGAGAGAGAGAGAGAGAGAGAGAGAGAGAGAGAGAGAGAGAGAGAGAGAGAGAGAGAGAGAGAGAGAGAGAGAGAGAGAGAGAGAGAGAGAGAGGAGGGGCGAGAGGGGAGAGAGGGAGGGGAAGGTAGAGAGAGAAGGGGGCGGGAGAAAGAGAAAGAGCGAGAGAGAGGGAGGGAGGATATATATATATATATATATATATATATATATATATATATATATATATATTATGGTAATAGTAATAGAGAGGAGGAGAGAGAGAGAGAGAAGAGAGAGAGCAGAGAGAGAGAGAGAGCGGAAACGATAAGGAGGGAAAAAGAGCAAAAAGCATGAGGTGTACGAAAGGAACAGATGTGAGGGGGTGTCGGGGAGATGGCAGGAAAGAGAGGAAAAAACAATGTTGTATGAGCAATTATGACAGCAGTGTTCGATAGTAGATGGAGGACAATAGGCAAGAGCAATGATAGATGGGATTACCGGAAATAATAAATGCTCTCTCTGTCTCTGGTCTCGTTCTCTTCATCTGCATCTCCTCAGGTCGTCTCGGTCTCGGTTCTCTCTCGTTCGTCGTATGCTCTCTCTCTCTCTCACGAGTCTCTCTCTCTCTCTCACAGGTCAGCGATCCATATTGCGTTTTTCTTGCACACACCATCACAGCATCACATTGTACGGGTGTTTTCTGGTTGACATGACATTCAACGACACAGCCACCCTCAGTCACACCAAAGCGACCACACACACACCCACATTACACACTACACCACGATCATTCAGCACACACACGACGACCACACACACACACACCATACACCACACGACACACAACACACCACACAGCGACAAACACACACAACACACACACAGCAACTATTATTATGGCAGCATGTGATATGAGTATGGTATATGAGTATACGTATATAGTGTATAGCTAGAATAATATAATTATAGGTACCATATATATATACATATGGTTTATATATATTAAGTAAAATATATATATATACGTATGGTATAATACATATACATTTATATGGTATATATATAGTATTATATATAGGTTAAGTATGTATAGGTATAGTACGTATATTATTATTATACTTATATTTACTATTGTATATATATATATATATATTAGTATATTATAGTATTAGTAATTATCATTACTTCTTATATTTATATAATATATGATGTGTGTGTGTGTGTGGTGTGTGTGTGTGTGTGTGTGTATTGTGCTTTTAAACAGTGTATATATGTATTTAATCTACAACACTGGGTCAAGCCTTGATCTTACCCGTAAACAAAAAAATGGTTCATGTCAAAGTCACTCGCTTTTTCTTGCACCGACATAATAAGACAATAGATAATAGTGATGAAAAAGAATAAGAGTGATAATAAATGAAAAGTTAACTGTTAGAAAGACAATAGGCAAGCGGACTGATAAATCAAATTTCAAGAGACTGAGACATAATAAAAAAAACTAGAAAGAAATCAATCACGAACGAAAGGAATAAAGAGAGAACACGAGAAAAGTCATAAAAAAAAAAAGAATAGCAAGATCCGCAGAGCCACGTGACCCAAACAATACCGCGAGAACATCTGGTCTCTTGAGAGTTAGCTTAAGAACAAAGAATTTCATTTCTAAGAAGATCTGGTCTACGTATTTAGAAAACAAACAGCCAAAGACAATGCACTCGGCAGATGGAACGACTTATGCAACCTCGCGATTTGATTAAAATAAGAGGTTACAGCAATATTTGCTAAGATAACACTGTTTTATATTGACGGAATGAATCTGCATGTTAGACGAGTATTAAGACATCGAGGAAGACACGCACATGGACAAATACACGGAGAAACGGATACCTACACACACACGCACGCATGCACACACACGAACAATTACGAAGAAACACACAAGCAAACAAACACACGGAGATTTAAGACAAGTACACGCACACGCACACACACACACACACACACACACGCACACGCACACGCACACGCACACGCACACGCACACGCACACACACACACACACACACACACACACACACACACACACACACACACACACACACACACACACACACACACACACACACACACATACATATATATATATATATATATATATATATATATATATATATATATATATATATATATAATACATTAAAAAAAACCTTGCTACAACAATAAAAAAACGACGGCAATTCCACGCAATACTAACATATTCCAGGAATACACACACAAAATATGACAAATACGAGGAGTAAATATGAAGATCGTATGCCCTTGTGTCACACAGTTACGAAATTTATGTCTGGGAGCACATGCACGTCACGCAATACCTGACTAATTATGTAATCCTGCGTGTGTGGGCATCTTAAAGCGAGAGCGCCGTTTGGACGTGTGTGGCAAATTGAGAGAGAGGGAGGGGAGGGAGGGGAGGGGAGGGAGGGGAGGAGGGAGGAGAAGAGAGACGTGCAGAGAGTGAAAGAGGGGGAGGAGGAAGAGGAGGGAGGGGGAGGGAGGGAAGGAGAAAATAGAGAGAGAGAGACATAAAGAAAGAGAGAGGAAGGGGGGGAGGGGAGGGAAAGAGAGAGAGAGAGAGAGAGAGAGGAGAGGGAAGAGAGAGAGAGAGAGAAGAGAGAGAGAGAGAGAGGGAGGGGGAGGAGAGGGAGAGGGAAGAGGAGAGGGAGAGGGAGAGAGGAGAGGAGAGGGAGAGGGAGAGGAGAGGGAGAGGGAGAGGGAAGAGGGAGAGGGGGAGGAGGGGGGAGGGAGGAGGGAGGGAGGGAGGGAGAGAGAGAGAGAGAGAGAGAGAGAGAGAGAGAGAGAGAGAGAGAGAGAGAGGAAGAGAGAGAGAGAGAGAGAGAGAGAGAGAGAGAGAGAGAGAGAGAGCAGCACCCGAAGCCCCAGAGAACAAAGGGCCAGCAGAGCATCCCTCTTCGAAAGGCAATTATAAATTGGTTCCGCGACATTCAAGGACGAGAAGGGGACAGGTGCAGGGAAAAGGGGTAGGACGATTGATCAATGTTCATCTGGCACTTGCTACGGGGTGCCACTCGTGCCAGCATCACTTGCAATCAATAATCTGGGGGCTGGCACACCGGGGGAAGGCTACCAAGGGGGGGGGGAAGGCTAGGGTCAGGTACAGACTAGGGGGGGGAGAGGAGACGGGAGAGAGGGGGCAAGTTACCGAGAATTGTCCTTTCATTGTCTTGCTGCAAGGACGCTGGGGTGTATAGCCTTTCGGTGTTTATATATTTTTTTATCTATTTACCTACCTATCCGTCTATATCTCTATCTATACGTCTATCGATCTATCAAATATACAAATAGAAAGAGTTTTACAATGGAAGTCCAACAACAACGACGACAAAATGCCAATAATACTATTTTCTTTAAACAAACCAAAATCAAAACAAAGGCTATCCCAACCTACCAAAAATCCCAATCACAATAGGAGCTTTTCCTAGCAACAGACAAGCCAACAAGCAAATCCAGTTCACCACTAGAACATTATCGACACGTCTGGAAGCATTTTTATCACAGTTAAGTACGAACCTCTTGTAATTGTGCTGACAGGTAGAAATAGATGAATAAATAATGAACAATAAACAGGTGTATAAATAAATAGAGTCCATTATACGACATCTTCCCTCCGGCGGGAATTATTTAATCAATGAGCAAATATGAGCGAACGAGATAAACAGGGAGAATAAATAATAAATAGAAGACAGAGGGAGAGAGGAAAATCACTTCCGGTTAGGAGGGAGGGCAGAGGCGAAGGAAGAAGGGAGGAGAGGAGGGGGAAGGAAGGAATGTGAAAAGGAGGGAAACGAGTGAAGAAGGGAGTAAGAGTAGAGAGAGATAGAGAGAGATGAAGGAAGTATGGAAGGTAGGAAGGAGGGGGGGGAGATAGTGAATAAGAAACGAAGGAGGGAAGGGGGGGCGGGGAGAGAGGAGAGGAGGTAGAAAAGCAAGTGAGAAAAAGAGTACGGAAGGCGGGAAGGAAGGAAGGTGGGAGGAGGATAGTGAGGCGAGAGGAGGAAGAGAGGCG